CCTGGAGCTTTGGATGGTGTTATGATTCAGGGTGTGGGTCGGCCCATTTAGAAGACAGTCAGAGTTATGGTGGTTGGACTTTGGTTGTCCATAGGAAACTGCCCCATGGTTGTGGAGTGGGATTTAGATCCATTCAGAATCAGTGTTTCAGTTTGGGCCCATCTGATTTCTGCTGTCTGGCCTGGTACCAGGTTAGTGCCTGGTTAGTGCTCTGTGTTGCCATGAAAGACCCAAATTACCAAGCCATTTTAAAGATGGGGAAACTGAGGCCCGGCACATTGAACTGATTTGCTGGACACACACAGCAGGCCAGGCAGACCTAGTTATAGAACGCAGCTCTCCGAGCTCCCAGTCTAATACTCCAGCTGCAGCACTTCCCTCTCCTCCATTCAACTTCACAGACAGTTCTCCTGGCCAGGGCTATCTGATCTGCAAGGGAAGTGGCTCTCACTGCTCTCTGGAGACAGAGGGTGCAGACAGCTCCACTCAGCAAGCCCACCTGTAAAAAGGTGGCGCGAGAGGACAGAGAAGGAAAAGCAACACACAACTCCAGAATCTCTAGACCCAAGCTGCGAGCTCCTGGGCCCGACCACAAAGCAAGCTAGTTCCTGAAGGATCAAAGGACTTCAGTGGTTCCTCTTGCTTCACTCGTTATCTGAAGAAGTGGGTTGTGCCCACGAAAGCTCATGAAACCATCTCTACTTTTTGTTAGAGGGTGCGACTGGACCACTCGCTTTTTAAGTTTTTTTCATTAAAATTACTTGGGCAAGGATCACTAATGTAACAACGCTTGGTTTGGGGTGAGCATCTCTTTCTATGAAGGGGCCCACTGAGCCCTCAGCAAATGTTTGGCCTGTTCCCTTCTGTACGATAATATCCTCTACAGTAAGGGTCTAACAATACAGCTTCTGTGTACAGTGGTAAACAAGGCACGCATTTGTAACAGTCAGGGTCATTAACTATGGGAGCAAACTGTCAAGGGGAAGGATGGATTCCCCATCTCTTGGTGTGTCAGATCAAGACTAGATGCCTCTCTGGAAGATATGTTCAGTCAGACAAAAGTTACTGGGCTCTCTATATGAGTGGCTGGAGGAAATTCTTTGGCCTGTGCTTTACAGGAAGCCCAGATCAGTGGTTTAGAGTTAGGGGGTCACAACCCAGTCCTGGGTTGCAGAATGTCAGGCGCTGGGTCTCGTTGCTCCAGGGGGATCAGGTGACCAGTGGAGGTGCTAAGGCAGCTACCTGCCTGTCCTGCCACTACAGACTACTCTGTACTCCAGAAATGGCCAGCAGCAGGCCCCGCTCCTGGGAGGGGATGGGGGAAAGAGCGCACAGGGCTCCGCACACTGCCCCTGCCCTGAGCACTAACTCCACACTCCCATTGGCTAGGAACCTTCTGCTGGCTGCTTCTGAGGTGCAGCATGGTCTGCAGTGCCAGGGGAGGCAGGAAGTTGCATAGCACCCCCGCTGCACCGCTGACCAGGAGCTGCTCAAGGAAAACCCGTCCTGCCCCAGCCATGGTCTCTTCCAAAGCCAGAGCCCCTCCTGAACCCCAAAGCTCTCATCCTCAGCCCTACCTTGGAGCCCACACTCAGTCTAGTCAAATTATGCTGGGTCGCAGGCATCAACAATTTTCTTCAACTGGATCACGAGAAAAAGAAGTTTGAAAACCACTTGCCTAGGGGTATGTCTACACTAGCCCCCTCGTTCGAACTAGGGAGGCTAATGTAGGCATTCGAAGTTGCAAATGAAGCCCAGGATTTAAATATCCCGGGCTTTATTCACATCTTCCCATCTGGGCACCATTTTTAAATCCCCTTAGTCCGAACTAACTGCCCGCGGCTACACGTGGCAGTCAAATGTTAACTCGAACTAAGTCCTTAGTTCGAGTTAACTGTTACACTGGTTGGTTTTTTTTCATTTGCAACTTGAATGCCTACATTAGCCCCCCCTAGTTCGAACTAGGGGGCTAGTGTAGACATACCCTTGATGATCTCTTCTGCCCTTACAGTCTATGAATCAGTAGCAAGATTGAAACGTGCTTATGGCTGGCACTGTAGAACGTCGCTGCATTTTCCAGACCAGTGTTGGGAGAAGATTCTAGCCTTTGCCCCAGACCTGAACACAACCCCACTACAAAAAAAAAATAGTATAACAAGAGACAGGCCGGCAGGAGCCCCTGAGAATTATGGGCTTGGAAAATTATGAACAAACAGAACCCAATTGCCAGGGGAGAAATAGCAATGAGACAGAGAAGCAGAAATAATTAGCTCTCTAATGGTCACCACTTCTGCTAGCTCAGGGGCACTTAGGGCAGAGCTGGAAGTGAATGCTGAGTGGGGAAGACAATTTGTATATTGCATTTAATAGCCTGAACATTCAAAAAAAGCCCAATCTTGCATCACCCAGACAGAGTTCCTGAGAGGCAGTGAACTGGAACTTCAATGGGGGAAAAGCTTACAAAAGCCTCATTGATTGCCCAGCGAGTGACTGGCTCTGTTAGACAACCAGAGCGCCCACTGATGAGAAACAGGGATGCTTTAACAAATAAACAACCCCAGTATGGCGCTTTAATCCATTGGATGGTTAGGGTCACAGGCAGAGACAGGTTTGACTAGACTAACCATGTAAGTATGGGGCTTGTGATGCTTCTTGGTTACTAGCAGCACAAAAAGGAAATTAGGAATATTACAGCTTATGTGCCTGTAACATGAAGCCCGATCCAAAGCTCTCTGAATACATGACTTGGGAGAGGCCCTTAGCACAGCACAGCACACACTCCCATATCGCATTGATGAGGGCCATCAAAGTTTGCTGTCTGATTGTAGAAGGCCCCATTGTGCTACAGACTCACCTCAGGGTACAGCTACACTGGTTGGTATTTTTTCAGAAAAGGTATGCAAATAGCACTCGCATTTGCATACCTTCTTCCGCTTTTTTTTTTCCAAGAGAGGCTTTTCCGCCATTTGTCCCCGTCTACACGGGGCCAAATGTCAGGAAAAAAAACCTCTTTCGAAAGCCCCTGTAAACCTCGGTTTATGGGGAATAAGGGGGCTTTTGAAAGAGGGGTTTTTTCCTGACTTTTGGCCCCACGTAGACGGGGCCAAATGGTAGAAAAGCCTCTTCAGGAAAAACAACAGAAGAAGGTATGCAAATGCGAGCACTATTTGCATACCTCTTCCAAAAAAAACCCAAACATTGTAGCCATACCCTCAATTGGGGCCTCTAAGTGCTACTGGAATATAAATAGATAACAAACCTTAATAAATACCCAATTGGCATCCAGAGAGCTAGAGCACAGCAGGACTCCATTGCTCACTTTCAATTCTGACAGGCAGAATTTGCCCCACCTCTGGTTTTAAGATGCCAAGAAAACTTGTGCTTGCCCGTGTCAGCCCCTGAATTACGCAGGACCAGCAGCTAGCTCCTTGCGCCTGTAAGCATTGCAGAGCGTAGCAGCACAGGGCTTCCTGAAGGGAACACAGCTACTGAGTGTCTTCGCACAACCGACACTCCCTGTAATACAGGGACTAGCTTGGATAAGAACAATCAAAGCTCATGCTCCAGAGTGTAAATCTCACCTTATAGACACACACAAAACTGCTTGCGCCATCTGGCCTATGGTCAGTCTGGGGCCCTCTGCTTAGCTCCTCGATTGAAACTCAAGGTCCTCAATGGATGTAAATCGATGGATCTGCCCCCTCAGTGCATAGCCTGCCTCAAGTTTCTTTGCCAGGCAATTTTACAAGTTGGGGATACAAGGAGAAGAATAGGCTTATGTTGTAGGCCCTCTTATTACAGTGTCTAGAAATAAGCATATGTTTGGAGGTGGCCAGGGCTACAGAACTATGGAGGGAGGGGAGTCATTACTTTCTACTAGTTGTGTAGTTTCAAAAACCTCCCTCCCTCCCTACCTACCTCATAATGTTCCTGTTAGACCATGTTTCTCAAATTAATTGAACTGGCTCAGATCAAATCCCCCCCTGTGCTTGCCACCATGGTACACTCCGCCACCCCAGCACAGCACCCCAGCCAGGGCTACAGAACTATGGAGGGAGGGGAGTCATTACTTTCTACTAGTTGTGTAGTTTCAAAAACCTCCCTCCCTCCCTACCTACCTCATAATGTTCCTGTTAGACCATGTTTCTCAAATTAATTGAACTGGCTCAGATCAAATCCCCCCCTGTGCTTGCCACCATGGTACACTCCGCCACCCCAGCACAGCACCCCATCTTATGGTCTCATGCCTCTAGAGGGCACCACTGGCTGCCTCCTGCCGCAGGCATCTGAGAAAGCTTCAGTAAAGTGCTCTTCTCTGCCACCAGTGACAAAGTCAGGCTGGCTTGTGGATTGTTTCCCTTTCTACGAATTAGTCAGGCTTAGCGTCCTCTTGCGTTTCTTTCGTGGATGCTCAAATACAGCAACAGGCAATTGTGCAATATTAACCATACGACGGCTCAGTGGTGGGAGAATATTTTTAAAAGTGAGGATGTTAAAATCCAGCCCCCTTACCCCAGTTCATCCCCCTCCTCCTCGAGACCAGGAGCAAAGTCCCAGTGTGCGAGGCACAGCAGCTGGGACCCAGGGGGCTAGGCCGGAAGCCCGGGGATAATACAGCTCCCCCCATGCCCTTAGTTCCTGCATCTATACTGTGGATTAGATTCCCATCTTCCACCACCCTACTCCAGGCCAGGAAGTGTCTGACAATTCAGGTGATAGAATCCCCATATGTAATTAGAATTGTCATGGACATGCCTACATTCAGGTGGCTAGCTCAGGTGGTTACAGCATGGTGCTAATAATAGCAAGGTGGTGGGTTTAATCCCCATGCTCAAACTCCTGATTAACAGCAATTTAAGTGTGTGGAGAATGAAGCCTGTGTTATCAGGTGCATAATCGTAAACACTTTTCTGACAGCAACAGAGATGTTATGCAGGAGACGACCTGAACAAGTGATGCCAAAGCAAAGGTGCCTTTGCCAAGTGCAATGACTTCCCTACCTTCTGCCACAGAGATTCCCGGGAGGCCAGAGAGGAGCAGGCTGCCACGAACCAGCAGTTCCCAACCTGGCCCTGGTGCAAGTCGTGGGAACTGATTCCATCCACAAAGAGATAGGGATCGTCACAGATCTCCTAGAGGAAGAGAGAAAAATAAAAACAAAAGGTGAATGGGAAGCAAGGTGAGGCTTGAGAAGTGGGGTTACCTTTGTCTTCACCAATATCACTGTGCACCCCTCCCCTAGCACACATACCTCCCGCCTAACTCCACCTATCATCCTGTCCAGACTAGGCAATCGACCTGAGGATGAAACCAAGCACCAAATTCTTCTCTCAGTTGTGCTGGTGTCAATCCAGAGTCACTCCACTGACTTCAGTGGGGGTACTCCAGAGTTAAACCTCAATTTAGCAAGGGATCCGAGCTCATGTGTGGTTTCAAACTCATGAGCAGTCCCAACTGGCTTAGACTTGGGGAACCTGCAGGATCGGGGCCATGACCTGGTGCAAATAAGAGCAGAAACTGCCTCGGTGCCAAACATCATCACCTGGGGTCAGCTCCAGCAGAGAGGACCAAGCCATTTACAACAGACCTGTTGGGGAAACTGCTGCGAACCAAGGCAAACTCTAGAGTCTTGTCTCCAGCACTGTGCTTGGCACAGCAGGGCCTTATCTCAACTGGGCCCTCTAGGTGCCACTGTGATACAAACAACGCAAAGAAATGATACTGTACCTGTTAGTCCTGGGTACAGCTGAACCACCACTGACCATGAGGGAGAGAAACGCTAAAAAAGCCACAGAGCAGTGAAAGTCGAACAGATTTCGCTGCTTGGAAGGGACTTTACTATTCAGACACATTTCTCCTTTGTTTAATCTAATTCCACTCATACTAACTGTGTCCCTCTCTCTTGCTTTCCTCTGATAGATGGATCAGATTCCTCTGCTCCTCACCTTAGCTTTCACTTAGCCGAGCCACAGATATTTTCCTCTTTTAGCCTTTCCTAGCAGGTCAACCCCTCCAGCTCCTTCATGGCTTCGGCTGTTGTTATTACTGGTTATTATGTGTATTGCAGTAGCACCTTAGAGGCTGGCATGGACAGGGACCACACTGGGCTCAGCACAATTCTCCCCTCCCCTTTTTATTTTTGACATCAAAGGGGAGCCCTGAATGGAAAACAATAAGCCAGCCATGGTCTCACCAACACCAGAGAAGGCAACCTGCCACGGGTTTATAGCTTAAAGCCCATCTAGTCTGACCTCTGCGTAGCACAAGCCAGAGGACGTCACCCAGTGATTTCTACATCAAGTCCATAACTCGTGGTGAAGTTAGCGCAGGTCTTTCAGTGAGATCTCCAATTTTCACTTGAAGGAGTTCAATTGAAGGCAAATCCACCATGTCGCTAGGTGAGCTGCTCCGAAGGTTCATTTCCCTTACTATTCAAAACACGGCGCCTCATTTCTAGTCGGAATTTGTCTAGCTTAAGTTTCCAATTGTTGGCTTTGCCTGCTGGATTAAAGAGCCTTCTACCCTCCAAAATCTCTTCCCCAGACCTTTGGAGATCCAGACATTTTTAACTCTCAATTAGAGCTGCCAATAAACCTGCATGATTTTCATGGCTGGTGTGGATTTCACAGACAGTGGAGCTTGTGGTGTGATAAACCAAAAATAGTGGTGAGATATGCGGAACCCAAGTGTCCACCTGCCTGCTGGATTAAAGAGCCTTCTACCCTCCAAAATCTCTTCCCCAGACCTTTGGAGATCCAGACATTTTTAACTCTCAATTAGAGCTGCCAATAAACCTGCATGATTTTCATGGCTGGTGTGGATTTCACAGACAGTGGAGCTTGTGGTGTGATAAACCAAAAATAGTGGTGAGATATGCGGAACCCAAGTGTCCACCAGCGGGGGGGGGGGGGGGGGGGGGGAGGGGTTTGCAGCTCATCAGCTAGAACCAGTTAAGGAGAGACAGGAAGGGGGAGGAGGTAAAAATGTGCAAGGAAGGCCAAAGAAGTGAGATTCTCCACCCTACCCCTGCTGCCTTGGCAATAGGCAAAGGCTTGGGGGGAAACCTAGTGCTGTGGGGAACACACGGTTCTAAAACACGTCATCCAGAAGCACTGGGAGCGGTACCCACCGCTGGTGTGCAGGAGGACTGTGGCAGCAAGAAACCAGGGAGAGGGCACCCCACCCTGTGACAGGCTAATGCAGAGACGGGGATGTGATGGGACGATGGAGCTGAGTGGAGGTGGGGATGAGCTGGCAGGAGACCTCAGCTGGTGCAAGCAGGAATCTTCCTCAACCAGAGCACCCAGATCAGACCTGTGTGTATAACTAGAGGAGGGGGACAGGGAACACAGGTGCACAGAAGAGAGGGGACCTGGATCTCCCTGAGACACACACGCCATGGCCCTGTCCATAAAGGTATTAAAGTGGGTTTTCAGCGGAGTATGAGATCAGCACTTTCTCCTTCTCCAGGTAGCTCACCAGCCAACTGGCATTCTAACGCTAACCAGTGTGCACAGTAGATTTGTCACGGACGTGAAATAATGCCTGCGCTGTGCACGTTGGTTGAGAAGAGGCCTTGCTTGACAACCCATCTTTTTTCCCCAGTTCCTGGACAACCTTTGGGCTACATGTAAGCCGCTGGCAGGCCGCAAATAGTTTGTCCAGAGTACAGCCACCTGCAACTCCCAATGTCCATGGATCACCATTTCCAGCAAATCGGAGCTGCGGGCAACCGGACCTGCGGACGTGAGGTAGACAATCCCTCTGGCAACCCACCATTAGCTTACCCTGATGAGCCGCCTGTGGCCATGGGCTGCAGGTGGCCAACCACTGGCTTGGAGGATTGTTTGAGCTGGCTGCCTTGTGCTTGTGCTCCCCCCCTTTTAGGCATGACCCTTACGACTTACCACAGCCCTGGGTGCATGTGTTTGTGTGTGACTCTTATCACACACAGCCTGAGAGGAACCCTAACTGACTCACTGTTTGCCTTTCAGGTGGAACCCAGGATCGCCATAGTGAGGGGTGGGGGTGTAAATAAACCAGCTGAAAGGGAAATATCTGCTCTGGGCCTTGCAGGGTCAGTGACAGTGTCATGGCTTCTTCCTTTCCCCTTTCCCTCTGAAAAAAAAGGGGGTTGGAATGTCATTCCCCTCTGCTTCTATAGTGCGCCCTTTGCCAGAAATCCACTGACAGAAAAAGGGCGGGGGGAAGCCGCTGGTGTTTTTCCTAGCCTTCAGCGTTTACCTCTCACCCTCCTTCTTCAGCACTTGGGTTGCCCTGCTGGTATAACCTCCAGGGCATGGGGATGGACCTGCATTTGGGGTGACTAGAAGGTGAAAGCAGATGACAATCATTCCACCTAGCCTCTGACTCTCCCCGGAGTTTGGGCCAAGTGCCCCCTGCTCCCAGCAAATCAAAATCGTGTATTTATTAGAGTGCATTGTGGTAGTGCCTAGGAGCCTCAATCAAATAGGTACCGCATTGTGCTGGGCACAGGACAAAGACAAAAACTCTCCAAAGAGCTCGGAGTCAAAGTGAAAAGGGCCTTTCCCCACAATGCTGTGCTCCCAGACCGCCCCTGCACAGGGCATAAAGGCTGCAGGGCAGAACCCTTGGTTAAGACTCTCTAAGGGTATGTCTACACTACCCCCCTAGTTCGAACTAGGGGGGTTAATGTAGTCATACGGAGTTGCAAATGAAGCCCGGGATTTGAATTTCCCGGGCTTCATTTGCGTGATCCCGGCCGGCGCCATTTTTAAATGCCGGCTAGTTCGGACTCCGTGCCCGTGGCTACAAGCGGCATGAACTACGTAGTTCGGAATAGGCTTCCTATTCCGAACCATCTGTACACCTCGTTCCACGAGGAGTACAGGTAGTTCGGAATAGGAAGCCTAATCCGAACTACCTAGTTCGTGCCGCGTGTAGCCACGGGCACGGAGTCCGAACTAGCGGACATTAAAAAAATGGCGGCGCCCGGCAACATGCAAATGAAGCCCGGGAAATTCAAATCCCGGGCTTCATTTGCAAGTTCGAATGCCTACATTAACCACCCTAGTTCGAACTAGGGTGGTAGTGTAGACATACCCCCGGATATCCAGGTCCTCCCTCTTCTATGCACCTGTGTTCCCTGTCCCCTTCCCCCAGTTACACACACAGGTCTGGTCTGGTTGCGGGAGACTCCTGCTGGCCCCAGCTGGGGTCT